TCTTACCCACTAATTCATCTGAAAAATTAAATAGGGTGAGGGATGAGCAACCACCTCTCAGTGAGTAGATTATGCAATATGCCAGTCAAGCAATGCCGTTTTACACACTCTAAAAAATATCATGAAAAGATACATCAATCCATATCATATCACATTACCCCTATGTAGTGTGAAAGATTGCACCAAAATTAGACATGCTTGACTTGAAATAGAGAGATATTTATAAATAGAACAAATCCACGATAATTCATGGTTTTCATATTTTATCACAAAATAAGAACTTTTAGAACACATTACATAAACCACTCACATCGACAATGAAAGCCCTTAAAATAAATTGGCAAGACAACCCATTTACCTATCTCGTCCAATATCAAATTTCCTTACATCTCTCTTTAGTCCTCTCTCTTTCTCTCTCACGTTTCTTTTTGTTATGGACAACATAAGGGAGAGGCCTTATTTATACTCTTACAAAACTTGGGCATGAAGTAAGAATAGATATATGGATAAGCTTAATGAATAAGGATAAATACGAATATAGGAAGATAAAATCAAAATATTTATTAACTAACTAATTTCTTTCAAGAGCTGTCAAAACACACAAGCTTTAAGCTTTAAAACAATGACACATATATTGGTGACAAGGATGAAATATGCATGTGCCACACGTCCACCTTAAGATGATTAAAACTCATATATATAAAAAATTACTATGTCATTCCTTTTGTCCAAGTCAGAAAGATAAAAATAGATTTTCTTTAACTATTTAATACACAAGAAATATCTAAGATTTAGAGAAAAACAAATAATATAATTTATAGTTATTCAAATGAACATATGTATATATATTTACAAATACAAATAGTTATTAAAATAGCATTATTGTAAACGTAAAACAGTACATATATATATAAATATTTATTTATAAACGTTTAATCTTCTTTAAAAACTTTTAAGAATATGAATTCTCACAATACGTAAGAGTTAGATTATTCTTGTTAAACTCTTTGTAGATTGAACATCTAAGACTTTTTACCTAGATTGACATTAGGTCTCTCCATGCATTCATATAATACATGAAAAATTGTTTTAAGTAAAAATATTGGCTAAGTATAAAAAATGGTTTTCAGAATAATCATTTTCTCAAGATAATTTTTGGCGGCTTTTATTCCTTACACATCAAATAAGAAAACTTGATTTTATGAGATTTTATTATGAAGTATATATTGACTTAATAAGCCATCATTTTTAGCCTAAATCGTATTTTGCACTAAAACCGATTTTTCATATTTTGATTTGGTGGGAATTTGATTTTTTAGTATTTTTATTTGAATCCAAATGGGGAGTACTTCCTTATCTACATTGTAAACTTAAGTAAATATAGTAATATAAAAATAAATGAAAGTAAAAGGACAAAGACATTTACTTAAATGTTGAAAATGAAAATAAGGTAATCTGCCTGCTATGCTTGTGTGCTGCGCCCTCTTGAGCATTTTATCAAGCAGTTTAGGGGCAATTTGCGGTGGTCAACATCTTCACATCCCTTGCAGGGATCAATTGACCCCTCTTGCTCCTATGTGGATCCGCCCCTGGAGCCTGGCCTAGATTCTAAAGAAGGTTTAGACTGGCTAATAATGTTATTTGTAATTGCAAATAACATGGTTTAATTATTTATTTGAACGCAAACGGGTCTAGTCCAGTAAAGGGCATTGATTTACAGATTAAGTGTTTCAATTTTGAATTCCCATGACATTCATGTGTGAGAGAAAAAAAAAGAAAAAAAAAGAGGAACAATAATAGCTTAGAAATTAGAATGACTCATGAAGGGCAACGAAAGTCTTACACCTATTAACACACCTCAATGGGTTGGATATTTATACCAAAATCGTTACAACCAATACAAAATCTCTTTAGACAAATGACTCAACATAATAACATTGTGGAAATTTTTAGGTCATGATAAAAGGTTGTGAAGTATTAGGTTTGAGTTTTAGCACTCGTAAAAGAGAAATTCTAAAGTGTATACAGTCGGTGATGGGGCAAAGTTTCTCCCCATAGTTACAGAAGAGAGGCATGAAAATCACTTTTGGTGGCAAATTAGCTTTTCTTTGTTTTGCCAATCACCTTCACCTAATATCAATGAGCCATATCACATATACTTTCTTTTTAAAAAATTTAAATTAAAAAAAAAGTGTATTCTAGTTTGAAATATTATAATTAGACCGACTTATAAAGCCAACTGGATGCTATTGCACCGTTCTAAAGTTATATAATATAAGTAATAATGCCTCACTGGTGTAAGCTTTAAGATTAAATTCTTAGAATCAATTAAGAGGTGGACATGGCTCTCAAGAAGCTGATGGTGGCTGGCTCTCTGTGACACCAGACTTTGTCAGTATGTAAATTAATTTTTTCACTGTCAATACTTAATTCCTTTTGAGCTAATTAAAACGCATCCAGTTTCTTTGTGTTTGGATCATTTAAGTTACACCAGAAACCTTACAAATTTACAAATAATAAGCAAACAATCCATGATTCTACAACTTTTGTATGTATGCAAAAGCAGAAGTTGAGTATAAGCAATCTTTACCAACATTCACCAAAGACCAAAAGCAGAAGCTCCAAAACATGGGTTTGGATACAAAGCTTCTGAAAACTGTGCTTATATGGGTAATGGCAGCAGCCACAACAAGATCAGCATCAGAAGCAGAAATTCCCCAAACCATAAGAGCAGATTGCTAATACAAGTGTGGGGAAGTTAGCATCCCATACCCCTTAGGCACAAATGACAAGCTATATTATACAGCGTGTCTTTCACTGTGTACAAGTACTGACAGCCTAGCCAATGGTTCCTGCTCGGGCATTGGATGCTGCAAGCCGTTATCCCGAAAATGATGTACATTTTTAGTGTAAAAGTCCAAAGCTTCCATAACCACACTAGGATTTGGGACTTCAATCCTGGTAGCTATTCCTTTTGGGTGGAAGGAAAGTCTTATGACTTCTCCACTGTCCACTGTTGATCTTGTTGATCTCCAGAGTAGGAGCAAGGTTACCACAGTGAATGATTGGGGTGTTGAGCAACAAACATGCAAAGAAGCACAAGAAAATGTGACAAGTTATGCATGCAGCCAGGATCATAGCTTTTGCCTTGACTCTGATAATGGTCCAGGATACCGTTGTTGTTGCTCTCCAGGCTATCAGGGCAATCCTTACATCCCCAAATGGTTGCCAAGGTACTTCAGTTTCTTTGGATTAAATGTTCACAGTGAATTCACTTATGTTCTTATTTGGTTTAGTTTATTATATTGTTTAGCAATCATTTTTCTTTTGGTTGATTGAACTAACAAGGTTGCATTGCTTGTTTGTCTTCAAGATGTTGACGAGTGTGCTGATCCAATGCTTAATGACTGTGAAGAAAGATCTTGCATTAACCAAAAGGGGAGCTACCCTTGTGCTTGCCCCCGAGACTACTATGGGGATGGCCAAAAAAATGGAGAAGGCTGCGTTGGTTATCAACTTCGAGTAATTAAGATTGTGGCTGGTAAGTTTGATATACATAAATCAAAATTTTGTTAGTCTCCAAATGTCCCAATTCTGATATGAAAAGTTCAGAAATTTAGTACATATGCCAAATATCTACACTTATTTTCTATGCAGGTAGTGGAGCAGGCCTTGTTCTACTGCTAGCTAGTGGTGGCTGGTTCTATCTGGGACTCAAGAAAAGAAAGCTTATCAAGCTAAAAAAGCATTATTTTCAGCAAAACGGTGGCTTAATGCTGCAAAAACAACTCTTGAGACCAGAAGAATCCATTGACACTACCAAAATTTTCACAGCGGAAGAACTCAAAATGGCAACCAACAACTTTGATGAGAGCAGAATCATTGGCCGCGGAGGATATGGAACAGTTTATTTATAGCTGAGTTACCTGATCAAAGAGTTGTTGCCATGAAAAAGTCCAAAATAGTCGATCGTAGACAAAACTATCAATTCATTAATGAAGTGGTGGCACTATTGCAGGTCAATCACAAGAATGTAATTAAACTCTTCGGGTGTTGTTTAGAGACAGAAGTGCCATTGCTTGTTTATGAATTTGTCACCAATGTTACCCTCTCTGACCATATCCACCAAGAGAACACAACTTCCACCGCCACCATTCCTTAGAACGTACGTCTTAGAATAGCCACAGAAACTGCAGGGGTGCTTTCATACTTACACTCTGCAGCATCAACCCCAATCATCCATAGAGACATCAAGTCAACAAACATACTCTTGGATGATAATTACACAGCAAAAGTGTCTGACTTTGGACTTTCAAGGCTGGTTTCTCTAGATCAAGCTCAATTGTCTACAGTGGTGCGAGGAACTGTTGGATATTTAGACCCTGAGTACTTACAAACCAGCCAACTGACAGACAAGATGTGTATAGCTTTGGAGTTGTAATGTTGAAGCTACTAACCAGGAAGAAGGCGGTCTTTTTTAATGGGCCTGCAGGGGAGAGAAATCTTGAAAGGTTCTTTCTTTCTGCACTGAAAGAGGACCAGTTAAGAATTATTCTTGAGGATTGTGTACTTAAGAGAGGGAGATGTTGAGGAGGAGAAGGAGTTTGCTAGCCTTGCTGAGAGGTGTTTGAGAGTGAAAGGAGAAGAAAGTAGCAGCAGAACTAGAGGATCTGACTACTATGGCATTGGCAGGGCAGTCATGGGTTGGAGAGGAATTGAATTCAAAAGTGACAGGGAATTTTGGTGGTGAGCCATTAAAAAAAAATTAGTGACGGGGGAGGCAGTACCGGATACCTGACTTTTTAACAATTTCATGCTGCAAGAAAGTGATGGGAGATGAATGTATTGCTTGCAATTATGTACACCTTTATTTGGTTGTGTACTGAATTTGCTGATGCTTTTGCTAAATGCTAATGAATTATCTTTGCTTCATCGTTGTTGTTTATTTATTGTCTTCAAATTCCTTATTAGATTGGCCTCTATTTATCAAAGTATTCTTTCTCATTTATAAGATTTCAGTTCAACACAGAATCACATTGACTACAAAGTAATAAGGTAATTAAACCTGAGAAATAAGTGCTCTATGTAAGCTTAGGAAAAAAAAAAAAAGCACACAAACTATCAAATGGACTTGTTCACTTGCAGCACAATCATCTCCCATCATTTACTGGTAGCATAATGTGGTTCCTCATGGTATCATACCCAGAACTTGAATTGCCACCGCCTCCACAACTAATAGTTTCCATGGATATTCCACCAAGAAGCGACTCAGTCTCTTCTGAATTGGCTTCATTACTAACCCATGGATGCATTACCATCCTTCTCAGTCCTTCTAGTTCCATAGCCACTTCCTTCATTGTTGGCCTTTCTTCTCCTTTCACTCTCAAACACCTCTTCGCAAGGTTTGAAACCTCCTTAAGCTGCTCAATGTTTCCCTCATTCACAATACAATCATCAAGAACTTGTAACAAGCGGTCCTCTTTCAATGCAGAAAGAAAATACATAGCCAAATTTCTCTCTTCCTCTGGCTGGTCAAAGGAAAGCGCTTTCTTTCTTGTTAGTAGCTCAACCAGGACAACCCCGAAACTGTAAACATCACTTTTCTCTGTCAATTGGCTTGTCTGCAAGTATTCGGGGTCTAAATACCCCAGAGTTCCTTGCACCATCGTAGATAACTCAGCTTGGTCTATAGGAACCAATCTTGAGGCACCAAAATCAGACACTTTTGCTGTGAGAGTTTCATCCAGGAGTATGTTTGTGGACTTGACATCTCTGTGAATGATAGGAACAGAGGCTGCAGAGTGCAAGTAGGATAGCACTCCAGCAGTTTCTGCAGCTATCCTTAGATGGATTTCCCAAGAATTGTTTGATTTCGTTGCCTTGCTTGTGTTATGGATGTAGTCAAAGAGGGTTCCCTTGGTGACAAACTCATAAACTAGTAGTGGAACTTCTGTTTCAAAACAACAACCTAAAAGCTTGACCACATTTCTATGGTTGATTTGGGAAAGCACCAACACTTCATTAATGAATTGGTCTATTTGGCTTTGATCCACCATTTTTGACTTCTTGATTGCAACCACCCGGCCGTCTACCAAAATTCCTTTGTACACTGTACCAAAACCACCCTTGCCAATGATTCTAGTCTCACTATAATTGTTGGTGGCCTTCTCAAGTTCTTCTGCAGTGAAGATTTTCGCCGTTTCGTGAGTGGATCCTTGTCGTTCTGAAAGTTGCTGTTGTAGCATAAGTCCTCCATTTTTCCGGAAGAACTTCTCCTTCAGCTTCATCAGCTTCCATCTTTTGTATCCCAAGTAAAACCATGAGCTTCCCATTAGCAAGGCTAAGAGGCTGACCCCGATTCCTGCATTTCCAACAAGTTTAGACATCAACCATCATGGTCATTGTTTTAAATAGTTTTACTCAATATAATTACACAAGAAGTAAAAATATATATAAATCCCAAAGCAGTAAAATCACTCCTGAAACATAGTGATTTGGAGGAGTGGCAACAGATTCATAAATAATAAGCATATATACTTACCAACAGTAATCTGAACAACTAATGTTCGATTAGGGGAGCAACCTTCTCCGTTTGTTCTACCATCACCATGGTACCCCTTCCGGCAAGAACATTTATAGCCTCCATCTGTATTTATACAATTTTGTTTGCAGTCATGGAGGTTTGCATCATCGCATTCATTAATGTCTGCAAAACAACATAACCCATATTCAGAAATTAAGCAAGTTAGTAGTACCTACTAACTTTTTTTGGTACGAATCGAAGGACGCAAGACTGAACCTCACTGCATCACGGCAGCAAAGTGACAATTCAAAACAAAGATAATATACAATTAATTTACCACGGCAGCCATTGAGGTATGGATTCCCATGGTAACCGTCCATGCACTTGCAGCGATACCCGACACCATTGTCAACATTATCACACCTACTGTTCTTTTGACATGTGTAGTTCATCAACTTTTTATTTTCAACAACTTCACATGCTTCATTTCCAATTGACCAATCTAGTACCACTGGGAGCAATCTCACATCTTCCAAATCCTTGAGCATGTTGGAGGAGAAGTTGAACTTTCCCTCTTCGACTACGAAGGCATAGCTGCAGGGGCTGAAATCCCACACATTCTTATGGTTGTTGGAACTAGTTACACTTACATTAAAAGAGGTCATCCCTTTAGCAATGGATGTTTGGCAACAGCCTATACCAGAGCATGAATAGTTGGCAACAAAGTCAATGCTGCCACATGTTGTGGTGCACCCACCGGTGTACCCGTAGGCTCTCCTTTTGTAACCTGTGATCTTTGCAGAGGTGTCACACCCGACCGCCACGAACTTGTTATCGGTGTCTGATATGAAGAATCTGGAGAGGGAGAGAGAATTTTCTAAGCCACCCAATGGCGTGCCTGACTTGTTGAAACATTGTATGGCTATGTATTGCTTAATATACAGCTTCCCATCCACAGATATGTTTGTGACCTCAATTGAGTCACTTTTTCTAAGAAAAGGCTTTGGAGGGTTATATGTGTCATTGCAAGTGATGAGGAAATCCTGGTTGTAGTAACAATCCTGGGTTGTGCCAAATGGATATGGGATGCTCACATCTCCACACTTGTCTTGGCAGCCAGGCTTGACTTCTACTTGATCAGAAGAAGGAGGGCTTAATGTTGCTGCTGTTGTTTGAGCTGAAGCTGCGGCTGCTAAAAGCACTTCTATGAGGGTGATCAGTTGCAGAAGCAGAAGCATAAATCTTTGAATGCTCATGGCTTCTGGTTAAGTTTTTGTTGTTGAAACGAGGTGTTAAATTGATGCTTTTATTGGCGGCTAGGAGAAAGACCGGACTATTTCCTTTGGAGCGACTTGTCAACAAAATATTACATAATTATAAACTCAGGTCCAAGTGGTCCTGTTTTTTTTAACATGTGGCATTGGTCCTGCAACTTGTCACATGCATCTAGATCTCAATCATCACTTGCTCTCAACTAACTGGGGAGAAGATAGAAAGCTGCAAATAGTACTGTTGCAGTAAGCTGTTTTGTATAAAGGAATTTTTTTTATTTTTTTATTTTTTTATTTTTATACAACCAATATTGAAGGAGAAAGAATCGAATCAAATACATAACCTGATGTGTAAGAATAACCACTAGAGCTACAAACATATTGCGAAATATTTTGTAAGTTTAAAGAAGAGTAGGAACATCATTTCATTTTTTTACCTCTTCTAGTTTAGTCATGAGAGTAGGAGCAGAGTAATCATCTCAAATTTCCAACATGAATAAGACGTCAACGACGTGTTTGAAAAAGTCAACGAAGACTTCTGCCTGAAGAAGCGCGATGGCATTTACAAGTAAAGTCTTGGGGGGTTTAAAGAGGCCCCACCCAGGAATTGATTTTGATTGGTGTAGAACCAGAACGAGGAGAGGACTTCTGAATCGCGTTAGGAGACCAAGATGCATAATCTGATGAAGAAAGAATCTTGTCTTGTTTTGGGGTGAGAGGTTCAGCCCAATTTGAACAACTTGCCACAAATTAATTATCTCAACTTGGAGGGGTGAAAAAACACTGATAATGACGTCATTTGCCAAATACTTCTTCTATTGTTGTTTAGGAAATCATGGTAAATGCTTCATTTTAAAAAAATTAATAAGAAAAAGAAACCATGGTATATGAAGAACATGCAGATATAATTTTCTGTGTGTTTTCATGAAAAGTTCTAAAGTTTTTCCTTCCACTTTCCTTCATATTCCTCCAATCCAACGGCCTACTTATTTTGCCCCTTTGTTCAGTCGAAATATAAAACCTTGATTAAAGACTTGGCTGAGTCAGCTGCCAGAGTAACTAATTATCTGACCAACCGAAGTAATCATCGGCTGAGCCGACATTATAGATCGTATTATGAGAACCCTTTTCAGGCTAGTACTATCTTTTAAGTGTAAGACTAAGTCATGCTTGAGTTTGTCAGACACTTATTTTTTCTCTCTCCAAAGAGGCTCTATATGGGTTTTTGGATAATATGTCATGCTAAAATTGGTTTATTTATAAAAACCTGTCTCTTTTTTCTTTATTCTCCTCATGTGCATGTTCATATATCACTTGTTTTTGGTTGAAGCAGTATGAAAGCAATCACAACTTCACACCAACATATGTACTCTTCATGGATTTAGAAAGAGAAGTCTCAAGCAGTCACAGGCAAAAAAAGCATTGCAAGAAGGGAAAATTACTTTGGATCCAATTGAAAAGAGTAAAATAGTCTTTCCAGATTACTCTATAAGGATTTCTATTCTCTCTACATATAATTATTGACTAAATAATCTATAGACATTCTTAACTTAATAATCTATAGACATCTCACCGGAGTTTGCACAATTCCACTACAAACCATACATATTCCTCTAAAACTGATTTGTTCAGCATGTAAGACGATGTTTCTTTATATGTACATGGATAAACAAAAAGAAAAAGAGATGTGGAATGTGCACCTATAAATTAATACGAGCACGAACCCTCCACCCCGACCAACCCATCCCACACTTCTCATTAGGGAGGGAAGCTACGAGTACACGCTTTGTTCGCATTGTAACTTGGGTTCTTGAAGGAGTTCCAGGTGTACCGGTGCATCACTTTCAGTGACCCAATTGGTCATGGAAAAAATGGCCCAATGATAACTCCAACTGGCTTAATACCTGCTGCAACCATCTCCTGTAGCATCTTCATCCTGCAAACACAAAGAAGAAGCAAGCCATGTTATTACTCAGGACTTTTTTCAATTAACTTTTTAGCTTTCCTTGAGAAATATCTGATCATACTTCTTTCCGAGAATGTCAAAGGAAGCTCCTCATCTACTGTCTGCCCATGACCAGACCACCTTGCGTAACTACTCTCCTTTTTTGAGTTTCCCATACCAGATTTCTCAGGTAAGTTATCTTCATGTATACCTCGGTACAAGTGTTTCAATATGAAAAGGGCAGTATCATAATCCCTCCAATAGTTTCTGCATGCCAAGATTCACCAATTAAATGGAACAGATAGATAAATAGCTATGTTTTATAGATACATGTATACATATCATTAAGCAGCAAACATTCGGACTGTAGGTGCTACATCCATATAATTTCATATGCTTATTTAAAAGATGGACACAAAAGTATAAAGATCCCATGATTATTTGAAAGTAGTCCACTTGTAAGAATTTTGTCATTTTATTCCTCCACCCTCATCATACTAGTGAAAAATAAAAAAATAAAAAAATAAAAAAAGGGAAGCAATTCTGAAAGCAATAATTCTCATAACTCAAACATTCCAAAACTTACTAGCTGTCTAATATTAATAAAGAGAATTTTACACCCAACAAATTTTTGAATGAATATGAGAAACATCCGAATAGCAAATAAGGGCAACAGCTGAATTATTATTCCTGTGCAACAATTCCCAAAAGTCTGAGCAAGAAAATAAACAATATAGTTCAAAGGCTGTAAGCACAACAATTTGCATGAACAGTATCCAATATTTTGCTTGATAAAAATAGAGATGGATAAAAATTCCAATTGCATGAATGAGGAAACATTCAATGTGAGTACATACGTATGTGCTCCGATTGCAGAAATATATGGATGCTCAAATGTCTTGTCCTGCATGATCAATACAAAGGCTCGTTCAGGATCAGAAAAATTAGCTGGTATTGATGACGTAATAATTAAATGTCTAACTGAGATAAAAAAGCAACAAGGCTATAAAGAAAACAGTCATGCATAGCGTGCTACTAGATTGGTACCGTTAGTGCTAATGAGAACAATATGGGGTTACAAAGCAGTTGCACGGCATATTTCTAAAAAGACAAAAAATGACATTCAGTGGATGCACAAGTTGAGTGAATTCTTCTGTTTGTGTCTAATCTATGTGGAGTGAGTGGAGTGGTGGGTGTATCTACGCACTTGAAGAACATGATCAATCCTTCCTCCTTCACTTCCAGTTACTCTTGCCATCATAAGAGTACCATATGATCTCTCTTCCTTTTCTTCGGCTGTTTCTGCTGTATCTGCAATATAACCAAAATAAGAAAATTTAGAAACCTGATGAAAGATGTGATGGAGAAGAAATTAGATTATTGTATTTAGGGCATAGGAAGTTTATATTTCCAACCCCAAAACTCCTCTCTTTTTTTCTATAATATGAAGAGATCAGTACACAAGGCCACTTTTGCTAAAAAAATGTATTCTTTGACGTCACTATCACTGAGAAGAACAAGATACAGGTTGAAGGAGCTAAAAATCTACTACCTTCTAGGCTATCCGTGTTTCTTGACTGGCAAACTGTCAGCACTTTAACCTGTTCAAACATAATATAACCTTGGAATTTCAATAGCTTCTCACATATAATAGGAACTACAGCATACATGTACATCAAATAACTCAGTTTTGTGAAGCACGACTGATCAAAACCCTAACTCCAATATGCTTCAGTTGCAGAATCACAGATTAAGAAATTAGGGACCAATGCACGGATGAATAGCTCTAAACTGGTGCTGTACTATACCCATGTACTGACATAAATGACAATCCAGTTGGAACTCAACCTTGCAAATTAAAAAGGTAATGTGGATAGAACAGAGCAAATAAAAACTTCTGGTGATCAATGTAGAGAAAGCCTGAGAACAAATATAATACAGGGTCAAAGTAAAATTGAACCTATAGCATGCAATGTTGAACACATAAATTATCAGGTTGAAGCAAACTTGGGCCTATCCGAACCAAGTGAAAACTCTCGTGATGAAGAATAAAAACTCTATCATTATTCTTTAAGTTCTTTCTTTTTTCCCCTTCCTGAAAACTTATTGCTTTTAGGTATCTCCATGGCATAAATTTCAGTTATGCTAGCTAGGTGATAACCTCTTCCTTTTTCTTTTTTCTTTTATTTTTTTGCCGTAGCCTGGTGGTAATAACCTCTAGTTTGAGAGTAATAGCTTAGAAATAAAAACAAACAGAATTCTAATGGCTAAGAGCTAGAAAAGACTTTTAATGAGTACCAAAAATAAAGACAGAGAGAGAGAATTCAGATTAGAAAGAGATATCAGCTTAGAGAAGTCTAACAAAGCCCACCTTTACAGAGTTTATACGATCCATTATTGCTTGAGAACGAGCAGCTAAATCTTCAGTGAATTCCTACATGAAAAAGTATGAGAAAGCGAGAGAGAGAGAGAGAGAGAGAGAGAGAGAGAGAGAGGTGACCAAGTCATGCATATGTTAAAATGTTACCTGAAACCCAATATGCAACCTCTTTCCACCTTTGTGGTAGGGTATGATAACAGGTCGCTTGCTGATGTATTCTTTACACACAAGTGGTTCAATTCTGTATTTAAAAATGAGATAAGTTCTATCATGTGTCTCGAGATCAAACATGTACAATTAAACAACACAACACAAGAAAATAATAGATATGAGTGATGAGCACATAGTTGATTTGCATATATATAAAAAAATTCTGATGACATCATGAGTACAAATGAGCACTGTGTGCACAATTAGTGAAAGCAACGGAGGCTAGGAGCCACTGATAGGGATTTAGCTGTGAATAACTATGGGCTTAGCAGTTTCGAGCCCACATACGACATCCAAAGAAACATATGACAAAGAACAAAGATGAGTTTGGCATGTAACTTTGTCTTACAATAAATATACGAATAACAGAGATTTTAATCATATCAAATTACAGGGCACACAAAGGGATATTTTCAATATGAAGTTTGGTTTGCGAATTTTATAATCGTTTTATGGGTCCAATT